GACTGACAGCTGCACTGGCTGCACTTTGTGCCTCAGTGTCTGTCCCATCATAGACTGCATCAAGATGGTCAAAAGGAAAACAGCCTACAAACCCAACAGAGGTGTACCTATTAGTCCTGTCTGCTAAAGGCGAGGATAATAATAAAACAAAGACATCCAACTGGATTGTCTTATACAGTAAATTAATTTGTGTGAAGTATAATCTTAGTTTGAAAGCCCAGCTCCAGTGGCACCACTGAGCAGAGAGGCAGATAACATCACAATAATTGCATAGTGTATATATAGTAAGTGTATGTCAATAATTCCACTCTGATTTAGTTGGTAAATCTGAATCTGACTTTGTTTTTATTCTCTTGTAGAAAATCATTTCAATGTTAAAAAGGCATTTACAGAATGTCAAATTAATTCAAGTCAAATGAAATGCTCCCCAAATAAGTTCTGTGATTTCAAATGTCTGGATTTTTGGATATACAGAAAATATCTGTAAGATGGAGCACATTTTTATACAAATTTGTGAGATTGTGTAAAAAAATTAACCAACATAAAAATATTCTGTTATACATGTGTTATCAGGAAAATGTTGTGAAATGTTAAAAATAAAAGCAACCATTACTTTGTGTCAAGTTATTTTATCATCCTAATACATACATTATATCTATTCAAATATTTAAGTACAGCTTTGTTGTGTTTTTGATATTAGGTAATATTATTGTTCCTATATATTCATATATATTCATGAAAGTTGCACTAGTGCATGTAAACAACATACATTCTGGGCTGGTTAGATTATACTAAGTTTGAGGTTAGTAGACACTTTACCTCTAATTTCTGTGAACGGTAAGAATTCCGTGGCTGAGTTTAGTTAGGCTGGAAGCTTTTTGTTGCTGAAACATTTTGAAACAACCTTTGAAATGGTTTGAAAATATTTCCCTTGAGTATTTGGTTAGTTTCTTTTTAAAATGTAGCATTAAATTCAGGAAAAACATTGTCATCTTTTCCTCATCAATTCAAGAAGCTAAAAATCACTATTTTGGGAAACACTTTTTTTTTTTTTTTTTAGATTTCCTCTTTTTTGCACTAGGAAATGTGCTTTGTTCTCTTACTAATATTAGTCCCTTATCACCCTTAAAATATATTTTAACATGATCGTTAACTAGACTAACTAAGAACAATATTCATTTAAAAGATTTCATTCACTTCATGAAACTGGGGTTGTATAAAATACATTTTTTTTTTTTTTTATTGAGAGACAAGTGTACAGTAGTTTACAATGACAACACAATCTGTTCCCATCACATATTTTTTAGTTTTTCTTACATGAACAGACACAATAACACACACACAGGCACATCCACACACACGCTTAAGTAAACAAACAAAACAAAACCTAATAAGAAACCCAAAACAAACACAAACCCCAAAAGGAAA